ATAAATAAAAACTCTCAGTTAACGGTTTTTATTTAATTATTATTTTTATTTTTTTGGGGGTGTTGTTGACAAGGCTGATCAAGACTCTTGAGAACCATCTACAGCACCACCACATCACAATGTCACTTCCCTTTGCAATAATACTTTTCGAAAGTGATAGGGTTTTATGAAATCAGGTTATTTCAACCATAACGATAAGGAATTTTGGAATCCTTCATTTCTTCTACCTTTTTGAATTCCAATTTTATATATATATATATATATATTACACATAGAGAATGTGGGCATTTGAGTTGTAAGTCAAAAGTATTTCATAACTGCATGCTTGAAAAAGAATGAAAAGCTGCCCTGTGGATGTCACATTGTAAGGACCCGCTAATTTTTTATATAGAAATAATTTATAGAGACCCAGTTGAACTTAGGGACGTGCGGTACACGTCAGCAGACTCCTCTCTTTTCTCCTCCTCCACAGGTAGTGACAACCACGTCACCACATCTTCTACAATAGTAAAAGCCATAAATAATAATAATAAAAAAAAACTAAAGCATGTGATTTAAGAAAAATAATTTTTAAATATCAAGTGTGAGTTTTATCCAATCTCTGACTGAGTTATCAAATTTCGAGTCTTGACTCGTGCGGACTCCATCTTCGACGGCAACCGAAGAACGGCGTCGTCGTGGAGGGATTTTGAAAGAGAGAGAGTGAGTCGAAGAGGGTTGGGAGGTGAATCGAAGAGATCGACGTCAGTTGGGAGGCGAATCGGAGAGGGTTGGGAGGTCGGCGAGTTGGGTGTTGCCACCGTTCTGAGCTCGCTCGGCCACCGCCACCGCCTTCTCTAACCGCCCGGCCACCGCCACCGCCTTCTCTAATCACCCGGCCACCGCCATCATCGATCTGGCCAACCCCTGTTTTGTGTGTGTGTGTGTGTAATTTTGAGGAGTTGGGTTTTGTGTGGCGGTGGTGGTCGAACGGCGAATCCGGTGGTTCTGTCCACTGTATATGTAGTGTCCACCGTGACAAAAAAAAAAAAAAAAAAATGAAGAAGGGGGGGAGAGAGAGAAGAGCAGCGTCGGTGAGGTGGGATTTGGGTGATAAATGACCGGGATTGATGGGTGGAGTTAATGAGGGACTTGTGTGGGATTGGTGGATCTGTGGAGGGGGTGAATTAGGGATCATGATGGTCTGACGAAGAGGAAAGGTGTACGTTGGGGGTAGTTTGGTAAAAAAAAAAGGTCAACACGAGGTCAAAGATAACATAGTTATTTAACACTTCAAAAGTACCATAATCCTATCAAAAATTGACATTTGGGGGTGTAAATAAAATGTTAAATCACTAATTCAAATGTAAGTAAAATTTAAAATCAAAATGTTAATCTTGAAAATCTGTGAGTGTAATTTGCCATATATTCTGAGCTAAAATTATACATGAACTCCATAAACTAGATATTGTAAGTGAGTCCAGTTGAAGTTAAGACTTCGTTTGGATACACAGGAGAGAAAAGAAAAGAAAAGAAATGATAGGCATAATTTAAGAGAGAAAAGAAAGGAATTGATAAGAGAGAAGAGAAAGGATAAATAAGAGAGAAAAGAAAGGAATTGATAATATTGTTGTTTGGATAATGCAAATGAGAGAAAAGAAAGGTAAGAATAATAATGAATTTACCATATTACCCTTCTTGATGAGGTTGGTAGCTAGGGTAAATCTTTCAGCCTCCACAATCGCCTCTCTCTCAAAATTATCTTTCTCACAGATCTGAACTTGCCTTTTTTCTCTCTCACTCTCTCACCGTCATTCATTATACCCCCACACGACGCGGTCTATTTTGCTCATCTTTTGCCCCCTCCCTCTCTCTTTAAAAAAATTCTCTCTCTCTAAAAACTATTTTTGGTTTTGTATTTTCCTTCAATGCAATCTACCCTTCATAATTGTTCCAAATTCGTTGCTAGATTTTCGTGTCTCATACAAATTCATATATGTTTGGATTTCGTGTCTCATACACATACATATATATGTATATATATTTCTGACTTATTAATTTTTTTCTTCCTTGATTCTGTAATCAAGGTCTCTCTCTGCAACTGCAACTTCCGACGATAAGGTTTTTCTGCAACTTCTGGCAATAAAGTTTTTTTGCAACTTCCGGCGACTTTTCCCCTCTCTCTGCAACTGATCAAAACCCATATCCGGCTGTCTCCTCTCTTGCCCCTTGGTGTAATTTGCTCACTTTCTCTCCAAATCCCTCCAAATCTTGTCAATTTTGGAGGGATTGGGTTTTACTGTATTGGAGGGATTTGGAGGGATAGCCTATCCCTCCAAATCCTTCCCAATCATTTCTTTTCTTCTCAATTCCCTCAACCCAAACACACTAAACTCTATCCTTCCCTTTCTTTTCTCTCCAAATCTCTCCAATTCCCTCAATCCAAACGAGGCCTAAGTAAAATACTTATTCAGACTAAGTAACTCGCTCACTGTAATAACAATGTTCGAGCTCGTCTTGATCTCTACAAAAGTGCCGGAGGGCATTTTTTTTCAATCGGGGTCGTTTTTTTTTTTTTGTTTTACCAGTTACATGAAAAAAAAAGCCTTTTTTATTTTTATTTTTTTATTTACCAAAAATAAAAATAATACTCATTGGATTTTTATTTGGTAAATAAAAATCTAAAAATAAAAAAGGCTTTGCTGATGACTTGTTAAATTGAGTAATTTACTATATAATGGATTAATAACTAGTCAGGGGCGAAGCACATAAGTCTTACTTTCTAATGTAAATTTATTAATAAGGAACATATATATCTTGCATTCTTGTAGTTTTTTGTTTTAATACTTGTATGAAGCAAACTTTAATGGATTCTTGACTCTGAAAATACGTTAGAGTTTGGAAGTGTAAATGTGTTAGAAGGTTGTAAATTATTAGGTTAATTGAATAACTGATGCATTATAATTATATATTTAAAGTATAGATGACACACTAAACAATCATGGGTTTAATTGTTTTTAACCCTCCCTATTTTGCAATCCCGGCTCCGCCCCTACATCTAACCATATCATCAAGGTGAATCGTCTTTCTAATTTTTCAAACGGAAGCTAAGGTGGTGTCTAATAATATAGCAAATATTCATAAGAACGTAAATTTTCATAATTTTATATCCCAATTCCTGCAAAGTGTTTCGACCGACAAAATCGTTTCACCAACTATCAGATTTACAATCATTAATAAATTTTGCCCCCAACACCCCCCCGCCCCGCCCCGCCCCGCCCCGCGGGGCAATTTAAATCCCTACTCAAAATATCATCGTTTCACCAACTATCAGATTTGCCCCCAACAACCCCCGGGGCAATTTAAATCCCTGCTCAAAATATCATCAGTGTCCATCTTCTGTAACCGATGCATGCAATAAAGCCAACTGTTCTGTTGCTGCAAACACTTGCATGTCCATCAAAGAATGATACAAATTTTGCCGCAAAACAAAACATAAGAGCAATAAAGGAAGACCGTGACCAAAGAAAACTTCGACCACTGCCATTGAAATGTAGAAATACTGAAACATCATTACATACACACATATACATATATTTTCCTACAACTAGGTGAAAATTCCTGTATACAATCTAATTTGAAATTGAGAATTAAAATATCCGGTCATCTATTTGTACGTTTCACAGCTGTTTCCCGTGAAAGCAGAAAAGGCGACAATGAGCACTCTTCAGCTCTAATAAGCCACCTAAATACTTCCCAATCAGTTCAGTGTTCCATGGTGTTAGCATTTTTTACTAGGGTCAGAATGGTATCGGCTTTACACTTCCATTTTCAACCTTGACGATAATTTTTGTTGTAACCTATGCGTTCTCAGGCTACAATCCTTCACCTGATTTCATGATTTGTGTCAGTTTTCGAGCAAGAGAAGAGTTTTGACATGATATAGGGAATATGACGTACCAATAAAGAATTGGGTTAAGTGCAAAAAAACCCCTAAACTATTGCCTTTTGTAAATAACCCCCCTGAACTATTAATTTGTTATAATTAAGGACAAATCCATCACAAAAGACTATTTTACCCTTTCTCATTAAAATTTTCATTTCTTATTAAATTATTTTTATTATCTTTTCTCTTGTGTAAATATTAATTATACTATTTACCTTAATTTTATTTTTAGTATCAATTTATCATAAAAATGAAAAAAAAAAAATAGATAAATAGATTTGTAACTACCATTTTCTAAATTGATTAACTTATTATTAAAACTTTATTATTTATAATAAAACGTTTTTTTAACCAATATAAACATTTTTATCGTAAAAATATATCATTTTTTTCATACAATATATTGATGAAAAATTAATAAAATACTTTTGAAAAAACTACCTTCTATTCATGTAATATATTCATTAAAAATTAAAAAATTAATTAATTTTTTAAACTAAATTTTTTATTTAAATAATTAATTAAAAAATTAAAGGTAAATTTATACAAATTTAATGAAAAATATCTCATCAAATTAGCATGAATTTTTTCATAATTTATTTAGATAAGAAAAATATATTAAATATAATTCAATAAAAAAGGGTATTATGGTCATTTAATGAAATATAGTATAGTCCTTGGGGTATGTTGCAACAAAATGAGATAGTTTGGGGGGGGTTCATACACAAAATATAGTTCAAGGAAGTTATTTGCAAATTCAAACATAACATAGTTTAAGGGGTTTTTTTTTGGACTTTTACCCCAAAGAATTCATGACTAGAATATTTTCAAACCAAGCAGGACACAATGAATAAAAGTTGACAAGAAAGAAGCAATTTTACGAAAACAAAATTGACTTTCATTTAAAGCTAAAAAGATTTTCCTAGCTCCGGATTTCTAGTAATTTATTAACCACCCTTACCTGCATGGCTGTTAATGTCGACAAGATATCCTTGCACTGATCAAGCAAAGCACGCTCTTTTGCGGCTACATATGCAAGTTCAAACATCAACGAGTTCACTTGTTCTACCTGTTATCATTTAATAAAAGCCCAACACATAATGACGTCAAATATGAAGTTAAAATGAAGATAATATGGTCATGGTAATTTAGCACATTGATGCATTGTGAAAAGGACTTGCACCGACAATAAAGATAGGAGGAGTATTTTGAGACTAAGATTTGTGCACACAGTCAACAACGGAATTCTAACTATAAACTTTCAAACTAATCATTTTCATCAATAATAACAAAAAAAGGCTGCACTACAACTTTATATAATAAGAATTAGTACATAATAGTGAAAGTCTCTAATATTGGAAAAGAGAAAATCAAAAAACAAAGTATCAAAAAACTGGCAACACAATGGACTTTTATGAAATACATAATAGTGAAAGAATTTCTCTAATGTAATTTTATCACAGGACCTAACCATACAAATACAAAAAGGTATTATACTCTATTAACACATTAGAAATCTAAAATCTAGGAATAGTATGCTCTTTAAGTGATGAGTTACTTTATTTTCTATAATCAAATTAACAGAACATAAAGGAACGCCAGAAAATGAAAGCAAATCACTTGGATCACGGTTTAACTTTACTAAATTTTATCAATTTTAAGAGTGACAAATACACAATGCATATCATTTGCAATTTTAGATTAATATTTATTTGATGCTCGTGCAATCTGAATACATAAGTAGTTTGAGAAGTTTGTACATTCACTCATAATTCAGTTTTCCCAGATCCAAGGGGGAAAAAGAAAGACGTGCTCACAATTTGCTGGGTGCAGGAAGTCAGTAACCCACACGAGTTGAATAGAGAACTATAATAGGAGGAATTTCGATTAGCCTAAGGACAGAAGATTCAAGGCTGCCAGCAGTTTGCGGGTTTCAAATTCAAGTTAAAAGACAATAAGACTCATACAAGCCAGGTAAGGAAAGGGACAACAATTGGAAATGGATGAACACCACACCAAGTAAGAATGCCAGTTACGAAACTGACTGCTCTAAGAAATACTACTTAAATTCGAAATATATGAGTAGTTGTGCCACAGTTAATAATCCAGGTGAGAAATATTCATGTCAAATGGCAATGACAATTAGAGCCACATGGTGCTTCTGCCATTCAGGAGCAGCCAAATATGCCATTAGCGGCATTTTGAGCCATATCATGCACTCAGTAGAAGGCAGAAGCAAGCATGTGTGGAGATCAAAAAAGTAGAAAAATATCTCTACAAAACACAAAACATGGTCAATCTCTTCCCTGGAAGACGATCCTTAGCACTGAACAATTTCCTGGATATCCATAACGTATTGCAACAAGCTAGTACAACCATTCCTGATCATATAACTTGTGATCGTTAAACACAGCTTTTTTGCCCAAGGAAACAGTTCGGACTCCAGATTAATAGATGTCTTTTAGGGAAAAAGACACTCTACAGATGCAGTCTAGGCTAGAAGATTGGAAAAGGGTGGAGAAAATCATATAAAAGTTTTGACAAATGACTCAGAACAGTAAGGGTGGTTTCCATGTCCACTTAGAATTGTTTGGCTCCGTCACATTTCCTTTAGCATTTGAAGTACAATATCACCTTTAAATGGGACCATCAAGGAAAATTGGAAACTTCACCAGTTAGCTACCCCTTTTCCTAATTGCACCATCTAAGATGAAATTCTACATCAAAATGCTGTGTAAAATATCCAATGGACTATTCAAACTTTTGGGGCCTCCAACCTGTACTAACAAATAGTTCTCTAAGTTTTTCAAAATAAAAGCGAAGAAAAGGATACTACTGAAGAAGAATTGATGGGTTACATGAGTTTCACAATGCAACCCTTAAACGCTAGATGTTTTCTATCCGAACACTTCAACCTGCAAATTCATACTAGCCAAGTAGCCATAAAAAAATAATAATAATAAATAAATAAAATAAAATAAAATAAAACAGGTGCTGATGCAATTGACTTGGCTTTTTGGTGTTGACAAATCTCCCAAATTGCCAGGTCTAATTTGCAAGTGTAACCCCCACGAATAGGGACTGTGGTACATTCTTTTTGGTGTTGACAAATCTCCCAAATTGCCAGGTCTAATTTGCAAGTATGACCCCCACGAATAGGGACTGTGGTACATTCTATAGAGTAGAACAATATTGAAACTAAATGATTCATGATTATACCATAAAAAACCAACACAATTGATATACATACAAATATATATATATATGGAGAGAGAGAGAGAGTCAGGGAGTGATGGAATTAGAGAGGTATGACAATGAAAATTACAGTGGCATGATGGTCTGAAATTGCCAGTAGCATAACATGATAGCCATCGAGAAGAAATTGGTTGAAATTAAGAAGCAGCTCTCCTGCTTGTCAGCATAAAGTCGTTGGAGCTATGGTAGCAGTTTTCAGGCATAAGTCAAGAAACTATTCAGTATTTTTTCCTTTTCTTTCTTTCTTTTTCCCCTCAAAATGAAAGATATGACATAGGAGTAACCCTTCAAAATGAATTTACACGAGAATCATACCTAAATAGACGCATGGTGTAGCTCCTAGTTAAATGCATTGTTTGGGTAGAATAATACCTAAATAGACGCATGGGGTAGCTCCTAGTTAAATGCGTTGTTTGGGTAGGAGAAGGTTCGAAATATCCAGCTAGAAGCCAAGTATTGTCCCTTGAGCAATATCCAATTAGCAAAAACCCACGAGTGCTTTTACAGGAAATGATGATATCGCTGTTACCAACTGATGATCTTATGAACTCAAATGCTGACATTAATGAAGATGCAGGCCCCGCTTGATGATCAAATCAATAATCAAAGACAATTAAGATTTTCCAATACCAGAGTTTCATTCTAAATCTCTCATATTGCTATTTCGATGGAGGGAACATTTTGCATGGTTCAAGGTCCTGGTCAGTTGGTTGTGACTGAGACAAGAAGCTCAAGTAATCTCGATCCTGACAAGGGACAAAATGAAATAATACATACAATAATATAAGAATGTCTTAGAAGATCATTCAAGATAAAATCATCTCCTCCAAGATGCATTAACAGTATCTTGAGGCAACTTGATTCCTCGTGGAAAGCTTGATTCAGACCTAATTTTGAACTTCAAAATTCACATTTAACTGACACAATTGCTTTCAGAGAGCTAGTCTTTTGACATTCATTTTAAAAAAAAAAAAAGGTTTTGAATTATTGATTTGGACCAGTCTTATAAAAATTGTACCGAAGTAGTTGTTCGATCTGACTGGCATTTACTTTAACATAGTTTATGAAATAAACAAGATTATAAAAAAAAATCAGAAACTGATAAAAACCAGCTTGACCAATTGAACCAGCCAGTAAAAGAGAGTAGTTTTACTCTTTAAAAAAAAAAAAGGTGGAGAGAATAAGTGGAAACAAAATATAGTACATGCTATATATACAGGATTCCAATGAGCTGGTCTCACAAAACTGATTAGCATTAGGTCTTGAGTCCGTCATGAGTAGAATATCTCGCTCTTGATAAAAATCACTGCCATAATGGCTCCGTAGGCAGGTGAGGTTTTGAAACCTCATTCTAGTTTTAGTGTTCCATCATTCCAACTTCGACACCATCTGAATAATCAGTTAAATTCAACAAAACTTTTTTTCCAACTATATTGGAAAATTACTTGAATCTTGTTTTGCCATTCCACTCTAAGGTCATAACCTACTCAAAGCACATGCTATCATCTTTCCTAATTATCCGAACTCATGTTAGTTTTTCATTTCCCCTTAATGTGGACATCTTAATCATTGCTACACATCACGAAACCATCTAAATCAAATTTACTTTTATTTCCAATTAGTGTTTATAATTTTATCCTTTCTTGTTATGGCACACATCCATCTCAGCATTCACATTTCAAACATGCTCATTTTATTTATGTTTCTTAATTTTCAAACATTATCATATCCCATAAAACATGACTGATCTAATAGTTTAGTTTAAGTCGTACTCATAATAAACCCTCTTGATTGTAAAGCTTCTCTCCAGAGTTCTATCATCAATTTAAATTATATATGTGGCACAAATAACATATACCATAGTTCATCCAAACTACAGCAAAAGATATAGGTTTAATGTCTATCCTTGATCTAAGCCTATAATATTTGGAGATTCAATTGTTTCTTCTATAGTTGTTCATATCATGGTCACGATTCTATAATACATGTCCTTTACCACATCAAAATAACCATTTTGATCCTTTTAATTTTTTTTCTAAAACCCACCAAAACGTATTATATCTCTAGGGACCCTATCATAGACTTTTCCAATTTATAAAAAATAACATAACAATCTTTGTTCTCTCTATCGCTCCATTAGTCTCCTCAGTAAGTAAATAATTTCCATTGTTAAACTTCTTGGTATAAATCTAAGTTGATAGTATAATACTATACTTGCATGTCTTAGTCGTTTAGTAACTTCCTCCCAACTTTCCATGGAACACATTAACTTAACAACATGATAATTTATGCAACTTTGAATATTCTCATTATTTTTATATATAGGTACTAAAATACCTTTGCTCCACTCATCAAGAATTTTCTTAGTTATTATTGTCTTGTTGAACCATTATGCTAGTCAAGACACACCACACTACACCATCCGAGTATTAGTAAACAAAACCAGTTGAACATGAGTCCGAAGACCAGGTGAGAAAAATTAACGTTTACCATAACCATAACAAATAGATTTACAAGATTACCTTTGGCAGCAAAAAGCGTATCAAGGATGCCATTGCCTGCATCACATCAGCTGCTGAACAGATAGCATCTTTCATGTTCTGAATATCTACCTGAAGAAATAAAGAATTAAAAAAAAAATGTTTTCAATGAGTCAGGCAATTGAGATGTCACTTCCCCTCTGAGAAGTACAAGGAACAATACATACTTTTGCCCCACCAACCACTGGAAGGCGGAGAGTGCTCGCCTCCAAAGCTTCGATGGCCCCTGATAATGAACAGGAGTGATCCCTGTCAATAAGATCCCAACCATCCAAATATAGCACCTGCGTTAATCAAATACTATCAGATCCAACACAATGGTCCAGCAGACAAGTAGTAATATCAAAGCCCTTCTTTGAACAACATGATATCACTACCACTGTAACGAAGAGAAAGAAAGAATACAATCTTAAGTCTTTAAAGGCAGTCAGCACTTGCAGAGAACAAGAACTGGAGTAGTTGAGCTGCCAACTCAAAAAGAGATAAGATTTGTGTTATAAAAGAGAATGACAGAACCTTTTATCTTGAAGAAATTTTTCATTATTTTTGCTCTCCAGCTAGGAAGTACAGAATGGGTGAACAACTCTTGATATAGAAATCAAGCCCAAAGAGTTGATTTTCTAAGAAGACTATGAATAGTGGTGGTGTTGCTCATGCATGTGTCTGCAATCATTGCATGAGTGAATTATACCTAACAAAGTGATAATAGATAAGCTACAATGACTAGCAAAAATCTAGGATCAAAAGATTTTCAAGACCATCTTAACATTTATCTGTATCTGCCAATACATAAGGCCCCAGAAAAAAAAATAATAATAATAATAAAAATAAAAATTGTGACCAGGTAATATTCAATCATTAAACAAAATAAAGAATTAAAGCCATTGTCCAAATGTGGTCCCCGTTAATCAAGGATGCTAAGAAGGATAGACATAGTATAGACTTAACCTTTTGACATTATTTGCACTAAGTCTAACACACGAGGCATGACCCCAAAAAAAACAAAACAAAACAAAACAAAACAGAAGAAGAAGAAGAAGAAGAAGAAGAAGAAGAAGAAAAGAACGTTCAAACCAAGAAGGATCTTACTTGTCCCTTAAGGATGGAATACAGCTTCAAGTTCTGCTTCAGCAAATGTAACTCCAGTCTTTTGCACTTGACAGAATACCGCAATTTTGAGATAGTTACCCATGCATTATAAAGGCTTTTCTGAAAAAGAGAAGAACATTAAGATGAAGAATCCCTCCAAACCCTCAAAATGTGGGATTTAGAAAACCAGATCAGTTATAAAAAAATCCTGATATTTAGATTAACAATTCCACCAATGTTCAAAATGTTAGATTTAGAAAATCCTGCACTTGTTTTACCTTACCAATTGTTCAGCTCTACAAGCATACATATATTGAGATATTCACTTTATAGTTTATATTGTCTTATTTATCAGAAACTATAAGGTCTACCAACTATTTTAAAAGAAGAGAGATATTATAACAGATAAATTTTGGCTTTTTGTACATCAGCTCAATGATTTAATTTAGGAGGAAGTAAGGACACTTGTATTCTGAGAACAATACAAGTCACCACCATCATGTGATTTCAGCACTTGCGATTTGGTAAGACAAATGCTCTCTATAAAGCAACCATGTAATACATGTATAACGTCCATGACTGTTCAACCGAACATTTTTTTTTGGTAAGTTACGCACACACACAATTGCCCCAATTTGAACCCTCAGCTTTCTACTTAGAAAGTAGAGGAGATACCACTAGAGCTGAACTCTAGCGGTTTAATTTGAACAATATTACTTGCACATTTGTACAATATGGGCACTATTTTGTCATTTCCTAAAGGAAAAAAATTCCCTTATCCCCTTATAACTATTCAGGAGGATGCACGAATTCATCATTCAACCGTGGCCCTCTTTGCAGATGTAACAACAAAATTAATAAATGCATTTATGATGCACAACAAGGAGCACTATAAAAAGTCAAACCTGCAAAAAGTAAAACGAATGCAGGTTCGTAGACCAGTTATTAGAGGAGTTAGTTAAACGAATGCAGGGTAAACAGGAGATGAGGGCATAGGTTGTCAAGAACAACGTCCAAAAAGGATTAGAGAGGGAAAAGAGGCAGATCCCCTTGAAGATGATTCCCTTAGCTAATAACCATTAGGTGTGGTTTTGGTTTTCAATTGAAAGAGAGTTTTCTCACTGATATTCCAATGAAGCATAAGTTTTATGTTAGAAGGTAAAAGAAAATCAAACACAAACCAAACTACACCATAAATCAATAATTGTTCGACCAACAAAGTTGTGTTGTTGAGATATAATTAAATATAAAAAAATTATATGGCATCTGAAGAAAGTTTAATACAGATGATAAAAGTCAACATATCAAGAACAATGAGTTGTGCTTTACCTCAGCAATCACCCTCTGGACCAACAGGGAAGTATCTGTTCTAGCATTTACAAATCGCCACTGCAATTGCCGGTTATAAAAAAGCTTTAATAGGTGTAAATCAGCAAGTCGGTTCTCTCCCATCTTCCCTCTCCTAATATCAGCAGCAAAACAGAGCATAGATGGTGTGTTGCTCAAGCTTTTACGCAATGTGCTCGCCACGCCATTCCTTACTTGAGACGGACTGGGATTCCTCCTAGAAGGAGAAGACGTCGAAAATGCCATTGGCTTACATGAGGAAGCTGAATGAAGTGCTCTCCGAGGAGGAGACGACCGTCCTCGGGGTGATGATAAAGGACCATCATTTAATAGTTTCTGGCTGGCAATTAGCTTTGGTGTAACCACCGTTTTAAATCCATTGTTCTCTGATACTGGAGATTCTTGCTCCGGCAAACGCCACAACCTGTTACTGGTTTCTTGCCTAAACCTCGCCGGCACCACAACACTACGTGGTCCTTCCCGCAATTTAGCAACACTTACACACTCCTCTACACCTGAAGTGCTCTCAGAAGAAACACTTCCCCTATCAGAAGGGACACAATCGATTGTTGCATCAGATTTAATATCTGAATTTGCATCAACAATAAGCTGAGTTGAGTTCAATATACCACCAATTGAATGTTTCCTACTCTCATCAATCATGGATTGTTGCAATGCCCTAACTACACTCCCAGTCCCAGATCTACCCAATTTCTTCTTCTCATCAGTACAATCCAAACTCCTACTCAGAGAATTCACTTCCCGCAACCTCCCCGGCCACCGATGCCGATCAACAGGGTTCGAATTCTCCGTCTGATCCCTCACTGGCGTCCCCACCTTCCTCCTCTCCGGCGTACCTTTCCTCACATTACCCAAACTATTCACCGAATGCACCGGCTTCACTTTACTAACAGAAAGCGAAAACGACTCTCCTTGAAACGAAACCGACAAACTCCTAGTCGTAGTGCCCAATAGCTTCGTCGTCGCTGCTGAAACCTCGCCGGCTTTGCACGGTGTATTAGGCCGAGACGTGATTAGCCGCCTCCGCTCCGCGGACTGCGACCGCTTGATTGCAGAATGCGGCGGCGTCGCTGTGACCGTTCTCGAAGCAAGCGGCGACTGGTACCGCCTCGAAGAAGAGGAATTTGAAGAGGTGGCCGAAGACGAAGTGGTCGAAGTCGTTGAAGTAGAAGACATGTACATAGAGGCGAGTTCTCGCGACTTAGGTCTCCTATTGCCAGCGACGCCATTGTCGACCTCGGAACGCAACAGAGGAGACCTTTTGGGGTTCGTGCGAGATCCAGAGACCCTAGGGTTCAGTGAAGCACACACAGTACCCACCATTATACTACACAACACTCACATCTCACTCTCAAACCCTAATTTTCCCCAAAAACACAACCTAAGACTGTTCAAGTCAAATTTAGAGAGAAAGAGGAAGAAATTTTGTGTGAGTAAAGTGTGGATATAGTGAGGAAGTGTAAGAGGTTAGAGAGAGAAAGTGAGGTTCCTAGAGAGAGAGTGCCGGAAATGCTAGTGTTGGTATGCCGGCGGGAGAGGAGAGAGAGACTGTGGAGTTGCTTAGGCTGAGATTTGGGAGTCTTAACTGTCTTGTTTGTTTGAGCTATATTATATACATTATTTTTGAGTGAGAGATTGTACGCGCGAGGAAGACGAGTGAGAATAGACTCGCGGTGGTTATGGATGTGACGTGGTTAGAAGGAGGGTAGTTTTGGAACAACATATTGGGAAAGGTGATGACGTGGAAGGAGTTTGTGGGCCAGTAATGTGCACGCCAACATGAAGGTATTGAAGGCATTTGACGGCCAGAATATTCAGTTTTGGGGAAAGAGGTCAAAGTATGGTAACCATTTTATATATATATATATATATATATATTTCCTGACAATAGTGGTGTCGATCTCATAAAATACGTCATAATTCAATTCAAACTCAAGTTTATAATTGAGATTATTACTAAGATTATTACGAATACAGGGTGTGGGTGTTAAGGACTCATTTTTAGGGTTTAAAGCCACCGTGTTTCAAAAATATGAAGACCAAAATGTTGAGCGAACATTAAAAAAAATAGTGTTCACTTGTTCAAATTACCCTTATTATTAATTTTATGTATTTTTTTAAATATAAGCATCTTTTTTTGGTACAAAATATCATATTTTGTATACACACGTATCTACCATTGTGACTGTTACAGATGTACGGGGTTGGGTAGTTTCTTGGTCCTCTGCCGGTAGTTGTGGGTTTAGGGGTACAAGACGGTGGACACCTTTTGCTGCTCAAGCTGCAGTAGGTAGTATTTTTTTATATCCACATCAGTATTCTTGTCAATTTTATTTTTTTCAATGATTATAACTCTGACTCCATTAAATAATAAATATGGTTCATAAATACATTTATTTATAATACTTCATAATTTCAAAAAGTACAGAATATTAAGTTTATCAAGTTGTTTAATCTACATAATCTTTATCTCAAGAAAGTTTGTTTGACATACATTATCTTACCATGTGTGTAGAAAAACTTTTCAATTACAAATTAATAACTCTAAATTATAATGGAACAAGTTACCGTTGTTATACTTTAAAGTATCCTCATCTAAACTGGAAATAAATAAATAAAGAATAGGAAAAAGAGACCATTTAATGATTTGACAAAATCTATGTCTAATTACAATTAAAAGGGACACAAAAGTACAAAGTTTTTACATTCGGTTTGAGTTCTTGGCACAAACCGATGAAACCTTTACAAACCCCCATGTTGGAAACTGTTAATTGATAATCTAGAGACATTCATAAAACAACTCCTAATTGCAAATCTAGAAAATTATGAAACAATCCCAACATTCACAAGAAAAAAGTGGAGGCACTAAAAGAAAAGGACACTTGCATCAACCAAAACTGTAGTCTGAAATTTTTATATTGTACTTTATGGTAAAAAAAAAATTTCTAATTGGTATTTGTCTTTTCTGAGACTTGAATCTCGGACTTCCCTTTAAGAAGTAAGAGACTTATACCTTAGGTCACTGGCATATTGACACATATTCATGTTATTCACTTAAAATTTAAAGTAATTGCAAGAATTTCACTATAATAAAGTGCAAAACATGTTGGGGGAATAACACAAACAATCACATAAGATAAGACACGAATGTCTACATCCATGTAACATACCAAAAATTTCTGTGAATAATTTTGTTTACCACAAAGAGGCCTTCCCTGCCCTTTCTCTCTCTCCAGCTATCTCACGTTATTAGGGTTTATACAAGACCTAATATAAGAAACACATTTTGAACCTAATTTGCAATCGATCAAAGAACTCTCAAGTTTCGATCGAAGCATAGTCTAGTTGTTACTATAATCGAAGCTAACACAATTGTAATCATTGAACTTCTATTGTATTGCGGAGTTTGATCCTTGAACTGAGGTCTACGAAACTACAGCGTAAACCGGACAATGAAAAACATCATCTCCTACTATATTGTTGTAGAATTAGATCTATATAATAAATATGAATATACAAAAATTCCCTTGTAGAGAGGGAGAATAAAAAGTAAAAATATATAATAATAATAAAGCACTTTAGATGACATAAACCAAGAGAGCTAAAGAGAAAGTTTGATCAAGTTGCCAAAAGGCAAATAATTAAAAACTGAGTTCAAATGTGCTTTTTTCATTTATTAATATTCATCATTAGAGTTCTCATTTGTATATGGTTAATGAAATGAGATTTAATTGCATGCATGAGACATACTATTTATGCAAACCAATAATATATTTTAATAAGTACATAAGGGCCATCTCTTAAGTGGTGACCAGACAACTAATGAATCATGAAAACAAAATAAGCAACAACCATGACCAATAACAACTTTAGTGCCCAATAATTAATTAGCAAGTCATTTTCGTCATCAATAACCAAAAGGCAAACAAACTTCCAACAATCCTCTCAAAGTGAAATGGACACTAACACATTTGATAAGTTTTTATAACTTCACACTTTCTTTTAATTTAATTTAATTTTATAACTCCACCCCCACCTCACCCAATTCCCTTGCATATAATATAATATTTATATATATATATATATATATATGAAATGTATGACTTTTCGGATCAAGACAGGAATATACTTCATTAATCGAGATGTGTGGTTTGCGGGTAATTGTATAAAGAATACTTCGTAATACTTTTCCTGTCTAAAACTCTAACTGAAGTTATCGGAATTTCTCGATCAGAGAATTCGGTTAGAGTTTTACGTTCAGACTTCAGAATTTATCTGACAGACTCGTGTACATACCAAAAATAATAAGATTAAATAAACATACCTTATTATAAGAATAAATAGATAATTAAACAATACGTACTTCGACTTTGCATGAATGCTAGATAGTAGCAGATGCAAGGACAAGAGGGAAATCTACCCCCACATGTCTCAGAATATGTGTTTCACTAAAATAAATTGGCACCAACTAAAATGCTTTCATCTGCACTAACTACTCCAACAACCTACTCAGAAGAAAATGAGAGGTAGATTGCAGAAGCTAGAAGTTATTTTCTCTCTCTCTCTCTCTCTCTTTCTCTCTCTCTCACACACACACACTCACTTCTATTACTAAATCTCACTCCTACAACAATTGATTAAATTTCTGGTTGATTTAAATATACACCATTGAGATCAGTACCTCTCAAGGCTTAAAATCTCACTGGAAAACACATTGGGGAGGTCAAATTTTTTTCAGTATTTCTGAAACCATTTCTCATTATACATGTAAAAGAGACAAATATACATAAATCAAGAATTATTAAAATTACATTAATTGACAAAAAACATCATGATTAAGATGTGGAAGGACCACGTCTAAAGCTTCCATTCCTTAATTAAGATGTTTTAGGACCACTTCTAAAGCTTCCATTCCTTCTTAATCCAACACTTATGTTCTGTTTGGTGGGAAGAAAGGAAGAGGGGGTGGAGGGAAGACAAGATGGAAGAAACAAACTTCTTTTATCTGGTAAAAAGAAGACAATGAGAGAAAAGAAAAAATGATGAATGAGTCATCCTTCCTTCTTCAAAAATTTTATTTGGAGGGAAGACACGAAAGAATAAATACAATGTCATTATAAATTAGCCATTTCTCTTTCCTTCTCTCTTAACAAACAAAATAAGGGAAAAAGTTATTTCTGCATTCATTGTTATTTCCTTTTCTTTTCCCAACATAAGGTATTATATTATTCTCTTCTCTTCCATTCAACCAAACAAAAAGAGTACATAATCTCTTCCTTTAGGGATGTCTCATTCATCTCTTCTTCTCTCTTTCCATCCAATTTTTTTTCCATCCTACCAAACGGAACATTAATCTTGAAAATTTCTCTCTTTTTCCAACGTTATCATCTAAAAAGATCAATCGAATATATATATCTTCAACTTCCGTAACCTTTTTTTCTTCGAGATATGCTAAAAACTAAGCAAAGAAATTTAATAATTAGTTAGGCGACACGTACAATTTCAAGATTATTATGTTCCCCTTCCATGGATTCACACATAATTAAAGCAAAAGGATCAGTTGGAGTAGGCCAATTGTGAGAAATATCAGAAAGAACTAACAAGGAGGTTGATGATAGCATTTAGCTTTTCTCAAAACAATATATAATGGTGAACCATCATCATTTCTCTTGAGAGAGAGAGAGAGAGAGAGATTTTTTAAGATGAAAAAGAAAAAAAAAAGAAAAAAAAGATAGGCTAAGCATAAATCTGCATCAAATGGTTTAAGTTTGGGACCAAAAATATCACTGTTTTATTGGAAAAACAATAAGTGTGTACTGTGTGAGCCCTCACTTTTCAACCTAAAGATAAGCAACACTGCATAGTTATGATTTGCAAGCTAAGCCAAAAGCATAGGCTTTTGAGGGTGCTCTCTATCCCCTTACTTGCTTTTCTCTTGTCACTGTTGCTTCACATTGAGTCTTCTTCCTCCTTTAGGTCCCAGTACTTTTTTCTCTGTTTCAGAAATGGGCGGTAGACCATAGCTTCAACGCTGATGGATCTTTAATCAGGCTAACAAATGACAGATTTGTGCCGGATCACGCTGCATTTTTCGTGGATTCACATCTTGTTCATCTCAGATTCTGTTTTGAACCGAGTTAAAACTAATTGTTGATCACTATGTTCACGTGTAACTTTAATATTTAAGTCCTTTCATATGCCCCATCACGTGTGCCTTTTAGCACCATTTTGCATAACTCTAGACAATCCAACAGTAAAAAGTGGTTGAAGGATTGTTCTATTGCCAGCAACATCAACTATCTTCTTCTGTGTTTACTGGTTGTGGAAATAGTGTAACGTTAGGTGGTTGCGTAAAGCAGAGTAAAAGTAAATCTGCCTCTCATTTGCAATTTTGTGGAATTTTATGCCTAACAAAAGAAAAAATAAGCTTGTATAAGCTATAAAAAAGGGCTAGCCCAATCAAGGTTCGGAGTCGCGGTGCAACGGATTCGGGTAAATATCGGTGTAAATCGGCCAAATCGGCTGGTTCATGGAGGTATGTAATGGTATTGAACCCCTGAAAAAGGGTCACGAACCAACCGATACGTTGAACCATGAGCCCA